AAAAGGTTAAGTAGTCGTTCAAATTGGTAAACCTACAGTTGCTGACGACTTAATTTAAGGGCTGTCAATTGTAATTCGATTTTTGGTGTTGCATCTTAATTGCAGTGCCAAAAGTCTGTTTTATAAGTAGTTACTGAGGGAAATTTAGTAAGAAACGTTTACTTAAAAAGTTTGGTCTACCGCAAGTGATTATAACATTCGATATATTTTCACGAACTCCTTGAATTAATGGAAAAGAAGCTATTAAATGATGTGCTGTTGAATACATCTGCTAGCTTTTTCTGTTGCTTAATCAGCCGCTATTTTGTTCTACAATCAATTAAACTATATTCGGATTTATTTAAACAAATAAGCAAAAAAATATATGAAAAAAAAATTTTTTTTCAATTGCTAGATGGTTTCAAATTTACAGTCTACAAAATGAGGGGGGTTCTGGGAATTTCACTTGGTGAATTTCAGTTGTAATATAGGAAGATCTTGGCTGAGCCATTTCCTGAAATTGGTCATCCGGATTGTAGTCACTTCCACGGGATGGGCCTTGCTGCTTAACATAACTTGTACTGCTTCTGCTATGCTGATAAACAGACCTGGCACCCTCTTGCCTACTGGATCCGGCAGTAATTATGGCTCGATGTGAGTCGGAATCTGCTGCACTTTCAATGTGCTGAAAAAGATATACAGCAAAATTTTTCCAGCACTTTTGCTTTATTTTACCCTATATTTAGCGCAACTGTAGTATATTTTTTTGCTACAGCAGATAAGGTTGAAATCATGGCATTTTTTAGGTTTTTCCCACATATGATTATTTTGCACCAATCTAAGTATTGTCCACTTGTTAAATTAAAATACTCGGTGAAAAGATTAGAACTTTTAAATTTCTATAACTACTACTAGGCCAAAAAAATTGTTAATGTGGATTACTTTATTTACTACCTTTACCCAAGTAATATTTGAGACCTAAATTAAGGAAAGCCTACATGGTGCACTTGATCGTGAACTTGAAGTGACCAGTCACGCATTCTTTGGTTGTACAATTTAAGCTCTTCCTTCTGTGCTGGTGTCATTCTGCCTCTCGGTACTCCATTAACGTAAATTTGGTCGTTCTACAAATTTTTGAAAGGAAAACCGATGTTTGCTTCAACACTTATAGCAAATATTATTTTTTATCTTGCCAATATACGCAAAAAAACAATAAAAAAAAAGGGAAGCAAATTTGACTTTGGTAAAGTTCTCACCACAATTTTGCATGTGAGATCCGATGCATATGAACTGTCCCTTGCAGGTCTTGGTACGTAAGGACTGGCATTTAAGCAGACCACTACTGTGGCCAAGACGAGCCTGTAAGTAGAGTTTTGACAGACTTGATATCGCCGTTGTGGTGCTTCTTAGGGCTTAGTCATTCAATCTTTAAAAAAAAATGTATGACAGTGTCTTAGTTTACAGTGCTGCAGAGAAGTACTGTTGACCAAGTGTTAAACTTCGTGATAATATCTACCTGTCAACTTCAGGTTTGTTTTCAGAATACAAACGATATATTTCCTTTTAAAATCTAATTTTTTTTTACGTTACTTTCTCACTTTAATTTACTGCTTGAGTTTAAGAACTTGATAAGCACCACGGATCTCAAATTTTTGCACTCACACAACCGATATGTTGAAGAATTTTTAACTCCTATCATAATTATATTTTTGCTGTTTTTCATTTCTTTTTTTTTTTAAATGTTAATGTAAAAATCGATGTTTTTTGATGACTGTTATTTATTTGTAAAACATTTTTAAGGATGTTTTTCACTGGTTTTAAAAGAATTACACAGATGTGAACTGCATAACTGGAAAAGATAAAAAAAACTGTTTGTTATTCCAACTTACAATAAGGCGTTCATTTTGGCAGTGAAGTTTCCTAAAAATTCTTAATTTACTTAATTCGTGGTCTTAAAAAAAAATTATGCGTAAAGCAAGCTTTAAAAATGTCGTGTATCATTTTACGGACCTATAAAACGAAACAAAAGAACAGACAGCTACAATACTATAAAGAAAGAGTACTGTACTAAAGAAAGGCATCACTAAACAGCGGAATATAAGATGAAAATTTGAGGGACCAAGAATGACAAATAATTTAAAAGATAAAAGGAAGAGGGGGGCAAATAAATGTATAATAGCTGTTTAGTTTTTATCATTCTGAGCATCTTAAAAGGTTATAGACACTTTTCAATTTTTAAATTACTGCTATTTGTTTGATTCAATAAATTTTCAATCCAACAAATTGTGGCCTTGGTTACTGTCAATCTTCTTATTATAATGCTAAATGTTTAACTTTTATAAACGCCATGTATAGTTCCTACTACCAACGTCGTCTACCTGTCTCTCATTTGGCTGCTTTTGGCTTATAAATGTCTGTAAAATAAATGTCTTCAAGTGTATAGGTTAGACGAAAATTTTTTTCTTTCTTATTCGGCTTTCTGGTGGAATAATATAAGAACAAGAAAACTGAGAGCCAGCATTTGAAATATATGCATATACATAGTAAAATTGAAAGTTCTTTTCTCTTTTCTTACTTATCAATGACAGTACGCATGGAATCACGAAATAATATACAAAAGTAATAGCAGATTGTTTAGAAAAATGACGCTGTAAATCAGTAAGACAGACATCTAAGGTAATAATATCAAAAACAAAAAAAAAAAATAGAATAAAGCTTCAAAATAAAAGCAAGACTGAAGTGAAATAAGCTGAGGTGTCTTCGCATCAATGAAATAAAAGTGTAGCAAAAGAAACAACTGTATTCCTCGCATTGTTTTTTTTTT